TTACCTGCCGGACATGAAATTGAAAAAAATCCGGAAAATTTGCCACATAGGAAAGGCGCCCGCTGCCGTGGCCTAGGTTTCTCACTGGAAATCCTCGTCCCCCGGCGGCACCTTTTTTTGAATTTTCTTCCTTTTCAACGCCGTTTTTCGGGAATTTCGGATTTTCTTTGAATTTTTTCGCAATAATATTCGGAAAATAGATAACTTTTAACACATTTTAATGCAATAAAAATTTTTGGTCGGAGTCCCTCTTTAAAAAATTATATAATTTTTATCTGTCTGTCTCTCCTAAAATCCGGATGTCCTTCACTTACTGAAAAGCGACGTCACTATCGCTCCAGATGAGCTCGCTGTAATTTGCTGAGCAATGCCGACGGTCAACAACTTCTTCTGACAACATTCCACTTTTTTGGCGGCTGATAAATTTTCTCGGCCACAAGAACCAGCCGCCCATGATGAGCAATTCGGCTCACCATCACACGACGATGATGGCATTCTGAAATTCTAGATTCTGGAATCTGAAAAAATGGAAAACGCTAAAAAAAAATATTGAAATCCAAAAAAATGGTGCAAAAAATAGATAAAACAGACGATAACATCAGGATCTTTATATAGAAAAAACGGGGATATTTTGGGATTTTGAAAGCTTTAGAACAATTAAAAAAAAGAGAAATCATATAAATATTATATTAAAGAACAAGAAGAAAACAAGAAGTATATGTTTTAATAACCAAAAAAAAAACCCGAAAAAACTTTAATAAAAGGGCTCGTCAAGTTTGAGCTCAATTATCTCGGTTACTGTAAGAGGTACCAAAAATGTGTCAATTGATAAAATGTTACTAATAAAATGATAAACATTTTATCAGTTGACAACTTTGTGATATCTTTAACAGGAACCGAGATAGGGGCTTTTCTATTAAAGGTTTCACGGTTTAAATTTCAAAATCAAAGATTATAATTTATTGCTGCTCCGGAACATTGGCCTTATAGACGATGGTACGTCCGACGTCGACCTTCTGGCCATCAGAAGTCGTCAAAGTGATCTTGTCCTCGGCTTCTAGATGGAAAACGTTAGAATCGTCCAACTGGATGTTCTCCTCGAATGGAGCATTGCAAGAGATCACTTTACGGTCTCCCCAGACGGCGTCCTTGTATCTCCAGAGGGTCACCTCGAATTTTGCTGAAAAATTTGAATTTTTGGAATTTTTATTGAGAATTTAAGAATCTCAGAATCCTAGAGAGTCCTTCAGAATCGTTCAGAGCTTTTTAGGATCTTCAATAATCTGTCAGAAGCCCCCGAAAACCTTCAGAATCCGTCGTAATCCTTCTGAATCCTCCAGAATCTTTTAGAAGCCTTCAGAATCCCTAAGAACCCCAGAATCTAAAAATCTAAAATCCATACGTTTGATAGCCTTGCTGATGCGACGCAACTTTCTGACGATCATCTGAACGGTGTCACCATCGACGATCGGCACGACGACGTCGAACATTCCATTGCAGATTTGAACGTTTCGGGCGATGAGGTTGACGGATGGCTGGAAATAAGCGTTTATAATTCTGATCTGGGAATCTGGAACCCCCACCCCCTCCCCCTCACCATACCCTATTCGGCAAGAAGCTCATACACGGCACCAATGGAACCGTCGTCTCCACAACATTCGCATCCACACCCTCCTCATCTGTATGACGAATAGACACCCGATCCAAATCCAACGCATTCATAATAACATCGATATTCTCATTAAGAATCGCAGTTTGGTCGATGGGGCTAGTCGAAGACAACGCTGATACTCCCTTCTGCTCAAATCTCTCCTTGATCATCTGAACGAATGGCATTGCCTTCTTCGCGAACTTCTTCAACGATTCCTCCTTGCCGATTAGCTGACTGATGGTCTTGTTGTCCGGGAGAGATCCATTGTTAGCTTTTGCTTGACTCTCAAGGATATCCAAAATCGTCTTCTGCCATGGTGGGAATTGCTTCGCCACGTAGATCACAGCTTCAGTCGGAATCTGGAGCAATTCCTTTGTCACCTTCTTCTTCGGTGTCAAATAAGTCTTCAATCTAGCTCGGAACTCTGCCATACTCTCTGTGATAAATCTGGCACCCAATGCCAGCTTCTCATCCACCTCATCAGTAGCGGGCCATGGAGCATCAATAATGAGCCCATCCTTCCCGAGCAACTGCCAGATGTACTCAGCGATATGTGGGCAGATTGGAGAAAGAATAATCATCTGAGTCTCGATGAAACGGAAGACGAGGGCTTCGCTCATTGGCTCATCGATACCTGCGCAGAGCTCTCGATAGGTGTCCCGGATGGCTTGGTACTCGAAGAATCCCGTTTTCAAAGCTTCCTTGAAGTTGGTGGCTTCATAGTTTTGCTCAGTGATTTTGATAAGAGAATTCATTTCGTTAGCGAAAACTCTATCGGCAAACCGGGAAGAATCTTTGCGGAGACTTCCACGTTGCTCGATCATCTCCTTGATCCATTCGATCATTGTGAACAGTCTCAGAATCGCCGCATCAGCCATAGCATACACAAAGTTAGCATCTTCCAATCCATCTCCAGCATCCGCCAAGCTCAATCTCATTCCATCGGCACTGAATTTCTCAATAGCTTCCTCAAGAGTCATAAAGTTTCCAGTCGACTTTGACATCTTCTCATTATTCAGCAACAAATGTCCATTGGCTCTGATTCCCTTTGGCCACTTGGAAGAGTCCTCTGGCCAGATAGCAGCATGATTGAAGAGCAAATAGGTCAAGTGATTTCCAACGAGATCCTTTCCAGAAGCACGCATATCAATCGGGTACCAGTACATGAACTCTTTTCGGAGCTTCTTCAGCTTCTCCTCCTCTACAGGCATCGTTTTGGAGTCATAAACCTCTCCAAGGAATACATAGCTCCACGCGGCATCTGTCATTTGCTCAGCCTTAATTCCAGCTGGGCCGACTACGGATCCATCGAAGGCTCCTTGTTGGAGGAGGTGGGATACAGTGTAGTAGGCGTTGTAGATGGTGGAGTCGGAGAGGGATTCAATGAGGTATTGAGTGTCCCATGGGAGTTTGGTGCCGAGCCCGTAGCTACGAGAGCACGCGTACTCGTGCAGCCAATCGACTGTGGTTTCCAGCCCACGGCGAGTCTGAAAATTGTTAGAAATTGATTTTTTTTTTTTGCATTTTAAGAGAGTTCCGGAAACTCCAAGAGCATTTTTGAGAGTTCAGAAGCTGTTCTCAGATTTCGAAAATGTTGATTTTGAGCCAAATCATGAACATTTCAAATTTGGAAAAATGTGGCCTAGTTTTGGATTTCTAGGCCAGCAACCTTAAAATCAAGGTTAAAAGTCGACACTTTCAAAATCGAAAAACAGCTTGTGAACTGTCACAAGGGAACCATGTTTAGCCTTCATCTCATTTTTTCTAAATTAATAGTAATTTCTCACTTTTTGAGTGAGTTTTTCGGCATTTCTTGAGTGTGAATCGTAATTTTAAAAATTTCTCTACAATCTGACAGAGTCTTTTCATTTTTCAAAAAAAACATGTTTTTTTAATTTTGCCATGGGTACCCCTCTTTGCGAAATTTTCAATTTTTCGAAAAAATTTTTAATGTGCTAAAGCTCATAGAAATGATAGAATGAGTCTTTTCACAAGATTCTGTAGCCTATATCCGTTTTGAAATCTCAAATGAGTGGCTTCTTCCGAAACTTCTATGAATCGTATTCCTTCGAAAACCACCCAGTAGCACTCAAATCTTGTGAAAACATAGATTTACATACTTCTTGCAGATTTATCACTGTTCCGCACTAAATATGATCAAAACGGGGGATTTCGACTGATATTTTGACTATATAAGGCTTTCCAGTAGTGTTTCAAGAAGTTTTCAGAAGATATTTATTGGATATTTTTCGAAACAAGTCCGAAATGAATTTTTCTCTCAAAATAATTCAAGTTTTTTTCCTACTCAAAAAATAGAGCAAACATAATTTTGATTTTCGAAAAATGCCAAGCATTCCTCCAACACCAAAGAAAAAAAAGAAAATGGACAGTGACGGAATCGAACCCCAAACTTGTGATTACTATTCATCCCCACTATCCACTCGGCCACTGTTGCTCGTTTCTTCCAAAGTGGAAAATGTATAGAGAAAAGAGGGGAAAGTGAAAGGGAAGGAGGAGACCAAAATAACAACATATTTTCAGATGGAATTTCCTCGACTTCTAGAAATTTGTGCAGATAACCAAATACATCACAAGAAAGCCCGTATTCGAAACTATAAATGAGCAAACTTAGAAGAAATTCTGAGATGAAGGCTAAACATGGTTCCCTTGTCAGAACATGCTCTTTGAAACCATGTACACCATGGCCTAGGATTCTCAAAATTTGGTTTTCTAGGCCACCAACCTTTAAATGGGTATATCTCTGCTGAAAATCGAGATTTTTAAAATCTAAAAACTTGTTCTGATCTCTGGAACCGTGCTTTTTTAAACCATGTACACCATGGCCTAGTTTTCTCCAATTTTGATTTTCTAGGCCACCAACTTTAAAATGGATATAACTAGGCTCAAAATCGAAATTTTTGGAACCTAAATTCTGGTTCTGGACTCTCAAAACATGGCCTAGATTTCCTAAATTTTGGATTTCTAGGTCATGGCTCAAAATCAATATTTCTGCTTTCCCTATATCTCACCTCATCATTGAAAGTCCTCATTGGCTCCAGAACCTTCTTCGCAGCCGCCTTCCACTCCAGCTCTCCATAGTTCAAATACCACTGATCGCACAGAGCGACAACGCACTCGTCTCCAGATCGGCTCACCACTTTTTTCTCCGGTTCCACGTATTTCGTGGCGAGACCCTCGGCAATCAAATCGTCCTGGATCACCTTCTTAACGTCGGCGGTCTTCTTGCCAGCGTACTTTCCAATCAACATGACTCCATCGTAGAATCCCTTCAAGTACACCTCCTTCTTGGCCTCTTCCAATTTGTCCTTCTCGTTTTGCGACTCGATTTTTAGTCTTGCACACATCTCGACGGCAGCCAAATCTCCCAATCCCTCAATTCTAATGATCGGAGTTGGATCAAACGGCAAAACCATCTCATCAGTCAATCCATACTTCTCTCTCAACGGCTTCTTCTTCTTGAGATCTGACAGGGCCGCAAAGTCATCTGGAGAGTCTGAAGGCACGGAGGTAACCACTCCAGTTCCCTTATCATCCTTGATAGTGAGCATTGGAAGAGCATAGACTTTGGTGTACTTGGCAAGAGGGGCTGAGAGAGCAGCTCCAAGGATCTTGGACCCGGAGATCTTCTCAAGGCCTGGAACATAGCGAACAACTCCGTTAACCTTGGTAAGCCCTTGATAAGACATGATTCTAGCGGATCTAGCGGTAGCGACAAAGACTTGGTTCTCAGCTTCTGTCGCATAGAACACAGAGTATTGAATATCCGGATGGAGATAGCAATTGGTCTGTCCGTACATTGTTTCTGGTCTCAAAGTGGCTGCCACCAAGAAAATGTCCTCTTTAATATGAGCCAATGCCGCTGGCTTTGGATCCAGGACCTTCAGCTTGATCATAGTGTACTCTTGTGGTCCGACTCCTTCCCCACTGGCACGATCGTGATCCATGCATGGTTGGCCGTCTTTTGGCGAGTAGATCGTATAGCGTTTTCCGAAATCGATCTTTTTGGCGGCACGAAGGAGGTTGAATTGCCAGCGGACGAATGAATCGAAGTAGGGGTTGACGTCGGTGGTGATGAACGCGCGACGCCAATCGGCCTGAAAAATCACAAAATTTTGATTTTAAAAAATTTTGATTTACTTTTTTCAAGTTATTTTTAGACTTTCTGGCAGCAAAAGTGGTTAAAAATCACACTGTCTTCATTTCAAATCGCTGATGGCTCAAAAAAAGCCGAAATAGCTTTTTCTGTTGAAAATTCCCTTTCTTTAACTCTGGAAGAAGAAATTGGAGCAAAAATGACTGAAAATCCCAAATTTGCCACTAAAAATTTCTGAAAAATGCTTCAAAATTGCAGTTTTTGCGAGTTTTCGAAAATTCTAAAAATCCAAAAATTTTCAAACATTTTTTCAATTTTCTAGAACGAATTAGCCAATTTTTTTTGACGAAATCATGCCGAAAAACTCAAAAATTATGCTGAAAACCGCTGAAAATAACTCTAAAATGCTCTAAAAATCGAATTTCTGATTCATTTAAATTTCTAAAAATTCATCACTTCAAAAAATCAATTTTTCTAGGCATAATCTGGTCAGAAATCGCAAAAATTTCACACAAAGTCGCCGAAAATAGCTGAAAAAATAGATGAATTTCAAATTTAAATGACTGAAAATTTCGAATTTTCGGTGAAAATCGATGAAAAATGCTAAAATGTTGGAAAAATGCTAAAAATTCGGAAATTTTCCCTTAAAATCGTAGAAAATGGGTGAAAAAATGCTCGAAAACTGCACTTTTTTGCAAAAAAAAATTGAAAAATATTCGAATTTCGGATTTTTCGAAATTTTCCAGAATCGGCAAAATTTCTAGACAAAACTGTCTAGACAAAATCAGGCCTGCCTAGAAATCCCGAATTTCTACTTATAATCTCTGAAAATAATCACCTTCAATCCCATCTTCTTCAAATCCGCCATACAATGCGGTGGAAAGTAGTACAACCAGTGATTTGGATCCGCAAACTTCCGAATCTCCTCATCGTCCAACCCCAACGACTTCATAATCTGCCACTGGTACTTGGCGTTGCCAGTCTTCGCCACCAGCTTACTCTTCTTTCCCTTACTCTTATCCTTCATGAGCTCATCGAGAGCCGAGACCTCCTCCTTGACTTCAACCTCCACGTCTTCTGGAAATTTCGGTGGATATCCGAAATCCTCCATTTCCCTTTTCAGCTTATCAGCACAAGCCTTGATTGGCATTCCAGTACAATGGAAACCGAATGGGAAGAGGACTTGTTTGCCCTGAAGACGTTGGAAACCGGCGGCGAATTCGCATTTTGACGCTGAGAATGTGTGTCCCAAATGCATACGTCCGTTCATGTATGGGAATGGGAAGGTGACAAGGTACTTGGGTTTGTTGCTGAAAAATCTATTTTTAGGCAAAAAAATGTCTTTTTCGGGTTTTTCTTATTCAATTTCCAGAAAAAGTGACTTACTCATCTCTGGCATCCGATTCGAACGCCTTCTTGCTCTCCCACAACTCCTGAATCGTTTTTTCGATTTCTTGAAGTTGAGCGACCTTCTTCCGCTCTTGCTTCACTTTCGACATGGCTGTCTGTTATTTGTTACCCTGAAAAATGGTCAAAAAATAACAATTTTTGTGAAAAACAGCCAATTTATTTATTTTTCCCACTCAACAATGAAAAACGGACGTAACATGATGTAATATGACGATATTTCGCAATAAACACCTATTTTTATTGAATGAAAATTACTCATTATTCGAAAAAACTTTTTTTAAAAAATTATCTTTGGCTTTAAAATCAGTAAAATAGGCCTGAAAAAGAGGAAATTTTCGCTTTTTTTGAGGGTGGCCGAACTTTTGCAAAGAGTTAGGCCATGGATGGCAGGGTGATTTTTGGCGATATTTCAGTGTCAATCAGAGAAAATACGATAAAAAAAGGGTTTGGAAGGCTGAAAATTACAGGAATTGCGCAAGAATTAAAAGTAAAGGTATTGATTTCAAAAGTAAAAAAAAAATCGGGGAAATTTTGATTTTGACAGCATTTTCCGGCAAAATTTTGAAAAAAGAGCTTTAAACTTCTCAAAACTTCGATATTTTCTTGCAAATCCCACTTTTCAGTCTGAAAATATCGAAAAATTAGTAAAGAAATTTGCAAAATTTAATTAAAATAATTCCACTCGATACCCCGAAAAAAACTTTTAGCGCGCGCCTTTAAGATACTATAATATGAAATTCCAGTCGAAACACGCAAGAACATTTTTCAGTGTGCGCCTTAGACATACTGTAGTAAAAAAAGCAGTAATTTTGCGAAAAATCATAAAAAACCTGAAAAAAAGTCTAAAAATTGCGCAAAAAAAAATAAGAACATTTTTATTTAAAAAAAAACTATTGCAAACAATTGAAATTTCCCTGAGATCCGCCTTTGTAGTCAACAAATAAAATATTTAAAAAATAATTTAAGCCCATTTAATTAAAAAATTGCGTTTCGCATGTTTCTTCCGGTCATCAATCAAGTCCTCGTCGTCTGTATGTGACTTTGTTTTTTTGATTTCAGTCGGTTCTGGCTCTTCTAGGTCATCAGACGTAGAAGATGTAGATTTTACATCTCCAGAATCAGATTTAGACAACTTCTCCAGATCCTCCAACTCCAAATCCTCCAATGGATCCTTCTTATTGATCTTGGCCTCTCCACTCTTTCCACTCTCCTCACTATCCTCATAGGAATCCTCATCCTCATCATCATCATCGTATCCACCGCATCCAGATCCTCCACCTCCTCCCGAGCATCCGCTACCGTATCCCTGGTACTGTTGAGCATATCCTCCATACCCTCCATAGCCACCACCGCATCCTCCGCTTCCTCCACATCCACCATTTCCAATTCCCGGATGGGTACGGTAGATACTGTAGTGATCTGTATACGGTAGATATGGATAGCGATAGGTGGCATGATGGTACTGTGGTGGGTAGACGTAGGTCATTCCGGGACGAAGAAGATATCTACGGGGCAGACGATCCCATGGGTAGTGCTGGAAGAAGTAGCCACGTCGGTAATCCACAACGACCTTTTTTGGAGGGACTGGAGGTCCTGGATTCTTCTGTCCAATTGGTTGGGATTCAGAAGAGGTGGTCGAGGTGTGGTTGGGATGTCGAATTTTGGAGCAATTGTTGAATAAGTGACTTGTTTGAGGTCATGGTTGGCTCCTGCATTCTTCACTGGTTGGGAGGAGAAATCCGAGTAGTCATCTCCAATGTTTTCCGTGTTTGATGAAGCTTGACGGGTCTGAAAATGGTAAAATACTAATGCAAAAAGGAAAAATCATGCTTTCCCCCCAGAAATTGATCATCGAATAAAAAAAGCTCGATTATCTGTAGGTTTTAGTACTCTAATGTTTTTTTTTTGAATTCGGCTCCATTTTTTGGGTTTTAGAAGTATAACTTTTTTGAATTTCTGAATTTCCGAAATTCTGAACTTCTGAATTTCCGAAATTCTGAACTTCTGAATTTCTGTATTTCTGAATTTCTGTATTTCTGAATTTCTGAATTTCTGAATTTCTGAATTTCTGAATTTTTGAATTTCTGAATTTCTGAATTTCTGAATTTTTGAATTTTCGAAATTCTGAATTTCTGAATTTCTGAATTTCTGAATTTCTGAATTTCTGAATTTCTGAATTTCTGAATTTCTGAATTTCTGAATTTCTGAATTTCTGAATTTCTGAATTTCTGAATTTCTGAATTTCTGAATTTCTGAATTTCTGAATTTCTGAATTTCTGAATTTCTGAATTTCTGAATTTCTGAATTTCTGAATTTCTGAATTTCTGAATTTCTGAATTTCTGAATTTCTGAATTTCTGAATTTCTGAATTTCTGAATTTCTGAATTTCTGAATTTCTGAATTTTTGAATTTTCGAAATTCTGAATTTCTGAATTTCTGAATTTCTGAATTTCTGAATTTTTGAATTTTTGAATTTCTGAATTTTTGAATTTTTGAATTTATGAATTTTTGAATTTCTGAATTTTTGAATTTCTGAATTTCTGAATTTTTGAATTTCTGAATTTTCGAAATTCTGAATTTCTGAATTTCTGAATTTCTGAATTTCTGAATTTATTAATCCTAATTTTTGCTAGGTTTAAGGCTTTAGGCTTATTATAGGCTTACGCTGGACGACTGGGACATCCTCGATGACGAAAAAATTGAAATGTAAGGTTGTTTGGACCAGAAGATATTTTTTAAAGTCTTTAAAAAGTCCAAAAAGTCTCAAAAAGAAAATATTCCCAACCGGAGATCGAACCCCCGAGGGCTCGTTCAACGAGCAAAAGCGCAACCACCGCGCCACAGCCGCCGGTTATTTATGCGTCCCCAAAATACTGTGGCAAACCTCACCTTTTTCGGAGCCACAGCTCCGGCCTTCCAACAATCGCCAATAGCAGCAAATAGCGATTCCTCCTCATAATAAAATATTTTTGAATATAAAAGAAATAAAAATCTCTGAAAATTGGTCAGTAGTGTCCATCATTAAATACTCATCATCGAAGCGGGTTCCTCAGTGTAACAAAACCTTCAAATATCCCCTCCTTTTTGGTCATCTGTATCTGAAAAATCTGGTTTCTTCTTCTTTTTTTTTTTTTTTTGGTGTAAAATATATTTATAAGTTGTGTAATAGTTGTTGCGTATATCGCTGTGAGAAAGTGAAGACATTGCGCAATAAGTGAAAACTCGATGAGATAAGGAACTGGATTTCCCTATGGGGAAAAGGTTTGATTTGGTCAGATTATTGTGTAACGTATAGTGTAAAAATTGATATTTCTAGAAGATTCCAGAGATCTAGATGTTTCTAAAAACATTTTTGAAAGTTTTTGACATCTGGATGTCGATAAAAATGTAAAATTCCATTAGAAGCTTTTAAAACGCTCCGCCCATGTTAGCTAGTTAGCTGTTAGCTGACTGAAAATTTTCGCTCTCTTTTATACTGGCAACGACTTGTTACAACATGTCAGTGTAACTATTACACTGAACATCTCTACCCTTCTGGACCATGAGTCATGGTCATCTTCCTGGTGATGTCATCTGAAATTCAGAAAAGACGAATTTTTTGTAAAACCTGTAAAAAGTTGTCCCTAAACTTTGAGCCAATTTATCTCGGTTATTGAAAATATATCAAAAAGTGGTCAACTAACAAAATGCTTATCATGAAATGAGTAATGTTTTAACACATGACTATTTTTTGATAGCTTTCACAGGAATTGAGATAAATTGGGTTAAAGTTGGGCGACCCTTCGGTCGCGAACTCGGCAGCATCTCTAAACTTTGAGTTAATTTATCTAAGTTACTGTAGAAGATATCCAAAAGTGATCAACTAACAACATATAGCTGATAAAATGTCAAACATTTTTTGTAGTGGACAACTTTTTTTTATATCTCTTGTGGGACTCGAGATAAAGTAGGTCAAAGATAAGGGTGCCGCGCCGCTAAAAACTCACTCACAGTTCACACTTTGCCCTGATTTAACTCGGCTCCTATAGAAGATCTGAAAAAAGTTGTTGACTAACAAAATGTAGCTTATAAAATGCCAAATAACTCTTCAGCTGACAATTTTTCGATATCTCTTATGGGATCCGAGATATAAAGGATCAAAGTCTAACCTGCCGTCGTCCGCCGTTCACCCGTCATTGGCCTACAGTTGTGGGGTTATGGTAGGCAAGGTAGGAAATCTTTCAAGTTTTCAAATTTTTTTCCTTTTTTTCACATTTTCAATATAATAACAGTAACAGTTCAAAAAACTTTATTCACAATAACTTATACAAATTCTCCAATTTCCTTTAAATTTCACAGAACCGCATTGTCTGGCATAAGCTGTCCGTTGGTGTTCCCTGTCGAACACGTTGGAACATATCTTCACATTTTCAGACACAAATTGCTCACAAACTGGCTCCATTAGACCCATTTTATCGCATTTTTTGAACATTGCATTGACGGTTGCAGTCGGTGTCATCTCCTTTTCCAATGGCTCGCTGAGCACTTGGCACAACATGCATGTGACGACGGATGTGGATTCGGAAGCTGGAATTTCCAGATTTTTAGATTCTTTTTTTATATTTTTTGGCAGCAAAAATCTCCCAACCCGATAGAACGTTCAAAATTCCAAAGGATCAAATTTCATAAAATTTTTATTTCTGTAGTAAAAAAAAGGGGGGAAGACTCTTCTGACTCATTTTTCAGGGAAAATTGAGCCGTTTTCATTTTTCGTTGAATTCAAAAAAAGAAGATCAAGATTACAAATCACAGAAAATAAAAGTGTAGGCAGATTTTTAATGAGACACGAAAATTCAGAAATTTGGAAATTTTGCAAAAAAATTCAGATATTCGGAAATTCAGAATTCCAGACTTTCAGAATTTCAGAATTTCAAAATTTCAGAGTTTCAGAATTTCAGAATTTCAGAATTTTAGAAGTTCAAAATTTCAGAATTTCAGAATTGCAGAATTTCAGAATTTCAGAATTTCAGAATTTCAGAATTTCAGAATTTCAGAATTTCAGAATTTCAAAATTTCAGAGTTTCAGAATTTCAGAATTTTAGAAGTTCAAAATTTCAGAATTTCAGAATTGCAGAATTTCAGAATTTCAGAATTTCAGAATTTCAGAATTTCAGAATTTCAGAATTTCAGAATTTCAAAATTTCAGAGTTTCAGAATTTCAGAATTTCAGAATTTTAGAAGTTCAAAATTTCAGAATTTCAGAATTGCAGAATTTCAGAATTTCAGAATTTCAGAATTTCAGAATTTCAGAATTTCAGAATTTCAGAATTTCAGAATTTCAGAATTTCAGAATTTCAGAATTTCAGAATTTCAGAATTTCAGAATTTCAGAATTTCAGAATTTTAGAAGTTCAGAATTTCAGAAGTTCAGTGTTTAAGAATTTCAAAAATTAAAAAATTACGGAAGTTCTGAAGTCCAGAATTCCACAATTCCGTATTTTCTGAATTCGAGAGTTTTAGATATTCTGAAGTTCTGTACTTTAGAAATTCAGAAAAAATTAAAGGACATCTGGAATTTTAGGGACATTTTTGAAATTTGAAATTCTGGAATATTTTAAAAAACAATTTCTAATTTTTCAGAAAATTTTCCAATTTTAGGATTTTCAATTTTTCGCTCATTTTCAGAATTCTTCCAAAACTTCCAAAAATAGTTTGGCAAACAAAAAATTGCTGATATAAATTTTTAGTACTAGAAATTCAAAATTTTGAAAATCTAAATAATTCATTAAATTTAAAAAAAACGCATTCTGAATACTTCAGACATCTACTTCAGACATCTATATCACACTCACTTGAAACCAGCATACCAATGAATACAAAAGACAAGATTGACTTGAAGTAGACCATTTCTTTTTCGGAAAAAAAGGACAGAATGATCTAGAAACGACGTGCTGGCTCTCTCCGACTCCTCGTCATCAAATTCCGGAACTCCCATATCGAATAACTTTGAAAATCCGCCTCCTTTGAAAGCACTATTATTATGAGCAATATTTCTAGAAAATGCACATCATCTTGTTTGGAACAATCTCGAATTCCCCCTTCCATGGAACTGATGTTTTGGATTTTGACTCATCTAGGTAATGAGCGAAATCCGAGTCATGTTGGTTAATATTTTCAGTTGGTGGGACCAAGAAAAGAGAGAATAAACATGAAAATAAAAAAAGACATAATTATTTAATCATTACCTTTTTTTTTTTAAAGTTTTTAAAAACCTGAATTTCCAATTCTGCTACCTAGAAACTCAAATTTTTTAATTTTTTAAGGGCTGCAGTCATAAACGGACGATTGGCGGCTGAACGGTGGCTGACAATGTTTAAGTATCGGAGGAATACAGGCGGGTTTTCAGGGGTCTGAAGCTTGACTGTCAAGTTTCCGATCACTTTGAAAATTTTGGAAAGTTTGAAACAGTGAGACATTATCAGATTAAAATCCAAGATTTTCAGCTGAAATTTGAAATTTTATGAAGATTTGAGGAATTTCAGACAAAAATTACTAGATTTTTCAGCAGGTATTTTCAGCTTGAAATTTGGGCACAATGGATTAGTCGAATTTTCGGCTAAAGAATGAGCTTTGACGTATAGTTGGAAAAAATTTGTGTGAGCCTGCTTCATGATGAATCCATGTGAGTTTCAGCTCATGACTGAGCTTTTTTCGGGACACTAGTTTGGGGTGTCCTTTTCTCATCTTAAAATTCACTTTAAATACGTTTCTGTTGAGTTACCGTAAAACCTCTAATAGAACGACACCCGGATCGTCCACTTTGAGCCTATATATCTCATTTTCTGCAAAAGATATCAAAAAGTGGCTAACTAGTAAAATGTTGCTGATATCCTGATAAACATTTTACTAGTTAACCACTTTTTGATATC